GGAAGCCTTGTGAGCTATCCTGGAATTCTCAGTTTAGCTTCATATTTCTCCTCATACCCAGTAGTACCATGGAGTACCTGCAGGAGTGTCCTGGGAATGTGTTACTTGCTGATGTCGTAATCCCTGAGTATATGGCTCTAGCCCAGGGAGCCTCAGAGCAGATCCTGACCAGGAGTCAGGGCTCTGTGTTGGAAGCTGTTGGGATGGACAGTGTGAGTTTGAATAGTTTTATAGACCTCTGTCACCTTGAATGCATTAGGGCTGCTTGTCAGACTGAAACAATTATAATTTCACGAAGGACAATCCTATTTTTTAATTCCACTGCTTAATTTCATCAGTTACCAAGACTGTTTAGGAATCCTGAATTCAGATGCCTAAGGGAACTAGCAGATTATATGATCTAATCTAATGAAGCAAGCCTGGTGTAAACAATCAACTGACAGAAATAGGATACACTGTCTTCACTTTTACCTAACTCTGAGTTAATATTAGAGTTTGATATTCAGAATTAAGAAAAGGTGAATTGAAGTAATTTTTTTTCTAGTTCTCTTCTTTACATTTGGAGCTTGCAGTCTGATGCCAGGCATGGCATGCTAACTAGGGAGGCTGAGGCAGGAGGATCATTTGAGCCTAGGAGGTGGATGCTACATTGAGCTATAATTGCACCAAGATTTCAGTGGCACATCTCGTCTTTTGGATTGGGATGTTTTTCTGCCCTACTTGACTTCCTTAACCAGCAAGAGTACTGAGTTTCTTTTAGTTTAATTATAGAAGATGCCTGTTAGTAAATTTAAGTACTTTCAAGCTGGAAAAGAATGTGGGCATAAAAAGTTTTGCCATTTGGGGTAACTATTCCTGAGATATTTGTAAAAATCTTAGATTCCATATCAATCATGTTTAGTTGTCCAATATTGCATTGTAATTTCCATTTGTAAAGTTCTTTGCTCATGGTATTTTTAGTAATTGAGAAAGGCAAACTGAACAGATTATATCATTTTTATAAAATTTGAAATCATGAATTTTGTATGCCTGAGGGGTGGAGGGGACAGTTTACTTTCAGTTCCGCACATGTAAAAATATATATAATTCAGGCCATCAGTCTTAGATTTCTACAAACCGAGATAATTTCTTGCCAAACAAATGTTCCACAAGTTAAAATTTCAGTGGGAATGAGTGAATGAAATCATGTATTTGTGTAATCATTTAAGAACGTCCCTTTCAAGAAGTGGTGTCGGGAATCCTTTATACCCTATGCAAAAATTAACACAAAACTGATCAAAGACCGTAGCATAAGAACTAAAAGTATACAACTCTTAGAAGAAAGCATAAAGAAAAAGCTTTATAACATTGGATTTGGCAATCATTTCTTGGATATGACACTGGTAACACAGGCAACAAGAGAAAAAAGAGGTAAATTGGACCAAAATTAAAAGACTTTTATGCATCAGACACTATCAACAGAGTGAAAAGGCAACCCATGGGATGGGAGAAAATATTTGCAAGTCTGTATCTGATAAAGGATTAATATCCAGAATGTATAAAGAACTCCTATAACTCAACAAATGAAACAACTCAAGATGCAAATTAAAAATAGGCAAAGAACTTTAAATAGACATTTCTCCAAAGACAATATATGGATGGCCAATAAGCACATGAAAACCTGCTGTTTGTCACTAGTCATTAGGGAAAAGCATCACTACTCACAGTGAAATTGTTACCAAAACACCAGGGGTTTGGTCTAGATCTCCTGCTCACCGCACAGAAAGCCCATCACTGTCACGACAAGTACTGCCAAGGAAGAAGGCTTTAATTGGCTGCTGCTGCTGAGATGGAAGCTCAGCCTCAAATGCATCTCCCTAACCCACTAAAACTAGGGGTTTTTATAGCAGGGAAGAAATGTAACAATGTGTAAGAAAACAAGAACTAGGGAGGGGCAGGGAGTCATCTGGTGTGGTGATCTGCTGAGTTTTGGTTCTTTGATACTTTTCTTTGAAAGGCCTGAAGGTCCTTCTCTGGGGAAGAAACTCAAAACAGATGCAAGTTTCAAGCTTTAACAGCAGAAGGGTCAATTTCTTTGTTTATCCAAAAAGAACTGTCTATGGGACTATTGGGCGGGTTTCAAAATGCTACTGCGCACCCATTAGGATGGCTACTATAAAAAAAAAAGTAAGTGTTGGTGAGGGTGTAGAGAAATTGGAATTCTTGTTCTCTGTTGGTAGGAATGTAAAATGGTTTGGTGACCATGGAAAACATTATGGTGGTTTCTCAAAAAATTAAACTAGAATTACTGTATGATCCAGCAGTCCCAGTCTGTGTATATTGAAAGCAGAATTGAAAGCAGGATCTTGAAGAGGTATTTGTATATCCATGTTCATAGCAGCATTATTCACAATAGCCAAAAGGTAAAGCAACCCAGGTATCCTTCCAGGGATGAATGGGTAAGCAAAGTGTGGTATATATGTACAAAGGAATGTTATTCAGCCTTAAAAAGGAATGGATTTCTGACACATGCTGCCACAGAGGTGAATCTTGAGAACATTATGCTAAGTGAACAGCTGAATCACAAAAAGACAAATACTGAATGATTCCATTTATATGAGGCAATAAAGTAGATGGCTTGTGATGTCATCCGAAAAGGTCAAGTCCTGGATGCAGTGTTTGTGGGTGAGCCACGCTGAGGGTTTTCGCCTGGTTCCTGTGATGCATCGGTTTCAGTGAGTCAGAAAGGTAGCTCTCTTCTGCACCATACCTCTAGCCTCCATGGCAGGCCCGCCAGCCATCTGTTGTGTTGTGCATCCAGCTTAGGAAACAAAGCATCCAGCTGTCTGCACCTCAGCTTAAGGGACTGGGTCTTTTTCATAGTGTTAGTTACCACCTACATGACCGTTACTCTGTTAAGTTTCTGCAAAAATCCTCATACCTCAGAATCATACTATAAATAGAACAATATGATGAACGAGTGTGAGCTTCAGGGACTTGGAAAATGTTTATGTTGAATAAAAAGTGTGACATTAACAATGTGGGTCACATTTGTTCATTTTGACCAGTCTACATTAAACTTTTCATAGAACAAGAAAAAACCATTTCCTAATACGCTTATCATGAATAATATATATTCGTTAAGTTCTTCAGTCTCATCAAAATTCTCGTCAGCTCCATGAGTAAATATAGTTATCTGAGTTATATTTATATCTGTGTTCTAATCAGCTGCCATTGGAAGCACCATAAATAGCTTGTCTTTTCCCTGCAGCTTATACCATAAGTTCTCAGACCTATCTTTACTACACTGAGCAACATCATTGTCGAAAGTTAAATTTAAATTTGTCAATGCTTCATTGTCTTCAGACACATATTTTCTTCTGTATCGAGTAAGCACCTGTATAAACTCACCATCTCTAACTACTTGGGCAGCTTAAACATGTAATAACTGCATTTTGCGGTGACATTATTGTATTTGTTTGAAAACAATCTGTATTGAAAATATGAGTCCTTTTGCAATTCATTCAGGGTTTATTTTTCTAAATGTTACCTGTTTTCTAAATATTAGTTATGGTTCTTAATATGGTTTGCTTAATAATGGCATCTTAAGCTCTGTTCTTCCAACTGAGGCATACTTTATTAAACGTGTGCCTTCTTGTGGTCTTTAATTTTTTTCCACTTTTCATAGAGATGTGAACAAGAAACGATTTTGCTTTCCTTTAAAGGAAAAGTACTGGAGTAACGCTTTCTGGAGCATTGCAGTAATGGAGGGTGGTGGACACTGGCACATGAAAAAATGTTGTGTCTAAAAGGCACAGCTGCAGTTGATACAGGTGGAAGTTGGTTTTTTAGATAAAATCACTCATCTAGTTTTAAATGTTGCTAACTAATGCAGAAAGAAAAGTTTTGAATTTTGTAGGCCAGGTGAAATCCAGTGAGTGAGCTTGTGTAGATGGCGGGCATCAGTTTGCTTTTCCTGCTCTGCAAGGGGGCAGTCCGCTGCTCCTCTGCTTCCTGGCACAGCCGTTGATAGGTGAGATTTAGGTGAACACTGATGTTGAAGCTGTTTTCATATTCTTCTTGGTAGACATTGAGGCTAGACCTGTGTTACCTGCTTTTGCCCAGCTTTGTGTTTAATGAGATCCCATCCTCATCACTGGAAGATACTGTAGTGAATACTTACATGGATCTAGTGAGTTAGGCCATCTTCAGCAAAATAGGCATCTTTTGCGGCAGAACTGTTTTGACCTAGGTTTACCCTAAATCATACTAATATACCCACTGTGTTCCCTTGGAGTTGAAGAGTTAATCAACTCCTGAAGTCCCTAAAGTGGTAAGTGGCAACGTCAAAACTAAATGCATGGCTTCTGACTCCACACACAGTGGATTTTCCTAACCAACTGGAAAAGGGTGTGTTTATGTGAGAGAGCATCTCTGAGAGAAGAGCTAACAGAGATGACCAGAACTTGCACTGAGAAAAAAACTACCAGCAGGACAAAGCCTGTTTTCATGAGTCATTGTCTGGTTTTATTTCTAAATTAAAATTTGTTTACAGTATATTTACCATAAAGGATTCTTAAAAAAAAAAAAAAAATGAGTTGAATGTCTCACAATGTGTTAAGATTTATTTAAGCTGAAAGAAGAATGCCAAGCTTGGTGGAACTCTGCCTTTCTAGTCAGTGGACTTACTGGCTGGCACTGCCTGTCCACTGCTGTTCACCTGATGGCTACTGACGTGGTGATGACTGTGGATTGGACTCAGAGTATGTCAGAGAGGTTGCAGGTGATAGTGCCAAAATCACTTAATAAGGATGTAAGGTTCTCAAGTCCTTTTTTGGTGTTACTAGTTTTATAAGGGAATTAAGAAATTAGATTCTGTTCGGAAGTAGTTTTCCAGCTCCTAATTTTAATATATAAACTTCTGGCCCTGGTTTATTTTTATAAATGAAGATACGAAACACTGAAGTGTTAAAACTAACAGGTATCAAATCATTGCCTTTTCTCTCTCCTTCACCCCTCAGGGGGAACACAGCGATTGCCGCGCGCCATTGGAATGTCCCTGGCCAAGGAGCTCATATTCTCTGCGCGAGTCCTCGATGGCCAAGAAGCCAAAGCAGTGGGCTTAATCAGCCACGTTCTAGAACAGAACCAAGAGGGAGATGCTGCCTACAGAAAGGCCCTGGACCTGGCCAGAGAGTTTTTACCTCAGGTATTTCTCATTAGAGTTTATTTTTTCTCATTTTAGGAAATTTTATAACACTTTGACTAAAACAGCAGTCACCTTGCCTACCAAAGAAGTCCCTGGCCTGCTTCCAAGTAAAGGGGTGCATGGGCTGTGTAAAACTAGAGCGGTTACACGAGATAAACACTACGATCCTGTGGAATTCCATGAGGCTTTAAAGATGCTCCAAGGGTCTTCTCGTAGCCACACTTTGATAAAATATCCCTTGACAACATTTGTCACGTGTGCACAACTTCCTAGCCAGGTGTTTTAATGTGCTTACCAGCTGAACGCTCTAACGGAAGCCGTAGCCATGGAGAGAAAGAGTGATAGGGCTGGCTGTCACACTGGGCCACCTCAAGTCAAAATACATTGAAATATGCTGTTTTCTAGTAAGATACCATAGTCTGTTGTGCCACAGTGGACTTTCATTGCAGTGGCTTCACTTGAAAAGTGAAGAGCCTGCTTGAAAAGCAGTAGTTCTTTGTCTTTGTGTGTGTGTGTGCTTGTGGTGGTGTAGGCATCGTTTTCACTCTGTTGTGCTTTCCCACAAGTACACTTTCAAAATCTAGAACACAACGCGTATGGCTGACTCCGGAGTGGTATCAGTGGCCGTGCACTGACAGTCCCTCTTTTAAGCTTTTTGTCACCCATTCAGATATATTTTTCAAATATGCCTTTGGTCTGAAATCACAAGATTAAAGGGCTTTAAATTGAGAGAAAGGGTCTTCTTTTGTGGTGTAAGCAGTAGTGATCTTTCTTTATTCCTGTGGAATTTGAAGTTTTATAACCCCCTAACCATTTCTGGAGTCAAAATAGTTTTTCTCTCTAACTCAGGGTTGCTTGACTCAAACAGAATTCATAACCTTTTTGTGTGCTGTGGATCTTTTTGGGAATGCCATGAGATTCCAAATTCATGCATTTGAATCTTTTAAAAAATGCATGAATGTTCACATTTGTTCAGAGTCTTGCATCCAGTTTCAGAAAGTATTCTTGGCACTCAGCACAGGAGCCTTTGCTGACAAACCAGGCCCGACTCTGCTGGTATGCACCTGCTGAATCAGTTTTTAAAACCACACTGCCTGGCATTGACGCTCTGGTCCTTCTTAATTAACTTAGGAGCTGTTAGCTCTTTTAGGGAAGGACCGTTACATAATTTATTCCCCATATAAGGTAATGCAGAGCCATACATTCAGTAGATGCTCAATGCGTATTTGTTGGATTGATAGAAAGCAAATAAAAAAAGATTTTTGCCTTAAAAAGAAAAGATTCTCACTACAAACTTATTTATTCTCCCCAGATATAGAGAAATCTCTACCTAAAGAGAAATTAAAGGTACAAGTATCAGGAGAGTAATAATTTGACTGAATATTGGTGTTATAACTTAGCTTGGCTTAAAACTTTATGACCAAAACATATCTCAGTTGAAAGAAAGGGATATGTTTAAGAAAGGTTATGGCGGAATTCCAGTTCTGATGATCTGCAGAGCCTGCTCCTGGCCTCTTGACATGGATGTTCAGTTCTCTGCTTCAGAGCTCCCTATAGGCAGCTTATTATCCCCTTAGGGCCTGACTTGCTCTCTCTCCCATGATGCTCCTGTGACCACCATGCAGCAAATGCCACCACCATCCACACACCGCCCCACCTGAGAACGTGAGCAGCGTCCTCCCCTCTGCTCCCTCCTTCCACTCCCAGTGTGTCGAGCCGCATCCCACTGTGTGGTCACCCAGCCGTCATCACAGTCCCTGCGCGTGTGCCTTTGTCACCTTTCATTTGAAGGACACTCCTTCAGAATGTTGATTGTTAAAATTAATTTTCCTCCAGGTCAAATGTATAAGCAGATGTGGAGTTACTTCAGAAAATATGTGACTGCAAAATTATGTGCACAAGTTACCAAATGAAGTTTGAGTGGAATCATCTTTATTTATGTTTGTTACTTTGTTGCCAAATGATTAGTCCTCCAGGTAACTGAAAGCTTCTGTAAAATTAGTATTTCTAGGTGATACCTGTATTATATATTACTTCCATTTATCTGAGAAAAAAAGGCTTGTAAAGGAGAAAAGGCATTGGTTTTATGTTTTAAAGGGGGAAACATTAAATCAGGCACTGTCTCTAATAGCATTTTGAATTTTCCTGTTTTTCTCACGGTTTTCTAAACCTTACTTCCCAAAGTGTGGTCTGTGGACCAGCAGCCTGGGCATCTCCTGGCAGCTTGTTAGACGTGCAGAATGTCAGGCCCATCTCAGACCCACTGAGTCCACATCTGCATTTCCACAAGAAGGATGGGGATTTGTGTGCATCTCTAGGAGTTTGACAAGCACCTTTTCTTGGTCAGTTGACGATGAAAATGGAAAAATTAGAGGAGCACACCGTTTAATGAAATGGATTGATTATCATGAAAAAAAATGGTATTGGTGTCTACCACACAGGCAAATCACAATGGGAAGAATTATCAATAAGATACTTGTCTACCAAGTATATCCTTGGAAATTGTGGCCTTTGAAAAAGATTTGTAAACATGATTTGGAAGAAAATTTAGATAGGTCAAATTTAATAATAGAAACTCCTTGATAGGAAAACATGTCTTTTCATGCATTCATCCATGTCACCATCCAAGAGTCCTTTGCTGTGCTTGTTGTTTAGAGACTACCTTGTGTTTTAATTCAAAAGAGCATTCAGTTCAAAATATAGCATTGGATTCACATTCATCACCCATAAACAGTATTTAGGACTTTAAAATGTGATCAAATAATGAAATTCCATCTAAGGTAGGATAGCTTGGTAAGAGTTTGGCTTCTGCAAGTCACAGGTAACATTTTCCTTCTCACAGCAGATATCCAGTTCATTCCTCAGTGACTCTCCTACATCCTGAAAGACTTGTGTAGACTTCAATTTTATTTGTGCTGTGGGAGCACTGCTTAGAGGACACTCTTGATTAATCCACCATCATTACTATTAGTTATCAAGGCTAACGGAGGAAAGATAGAGAGCCACTGTCTGAAAGAGATGATATCAGAACCTTACCTTAATCAATAGCAACAGCCTCATCCCCGGCCCAAGCTTCTGTCAAAACCCCTAACTGGTATGGTACTGAGGCGAAGACCTTACCTCCTTTTCCTTCCTCTACTTAACTTCTAGGAAGTGTTGCTGAAGAACAGCAAGCTCACAGCTGGACACGCACTACCTGCTCACCTTTAAGGATCCGGAGGTTGCAGCATAACAGAACATTGTGGAATCTAAATAATGTGCTGATGCAATTGTTGCAGTTGCTCTTTAATTACAGCCTTGCAAGGCTCAGAAAATTTTCCGTCTAGTGTCTGACAGCCATTGCTGGCTGTGCCATGGATCCAGTGGTGGGAATTCTGAATTTTACTGAGATACACAACATAATTTGCATAAATAATAATTAAAGTCTGTTTCTTTAATTTGAATTTTAGGGACCTGTTGCAATGAGAGTGGCAAAATTAGCAATTAATCAAGGGATGGAGGTAGGTTCCTTAATGCTTGAGTTTGTTTTGGAAATGGAGAGTGGAGATTTAATTTAAATGAACCATGTTTAGACTTCCACGTTTTTTTTTAAGTTCTAAAATATGGTTGTTTAGATGCTACTATTACTGAAAGCTACTGAAGTTCCTTGCAGCTACGTCATTTATTTCATTCTTATGGTTATTGCTAATTCAGTATCATAAGCACAGAATTCAGTAATTTTATCAGTGTCCTGAAGCTTATGACATGCTCATTACTTTTGCCGTCGAGTTAGTAGACAGATTTATTGGCTAGTAGTTCATAGAAAACCAGAGGGACAGGGCATTCTGTGTATTTTTAGCATCGGTATTACATTACGTAAAACATTCCAAGGAGAACTCCTAGCTCTCTCTACCTTTGCTTCTCAGTGTGCCTTCTGCAGGGAGGCACACGCAATGCAAGGTGAATCCATTGTGTGTCCTGCGGGTACCCCAGGGAGATGACTCCAAAAGAGTGGAGGTCCCAGGCCAGGGAGGAGGAGATGGTGCACATACCCATTTATTGGACTTTTCATGGCAGTTGTTAAATTTTGGTTAAATTATGGATATTTTGAAGAAAAGTGCTTCCTTCTTGCAGACTGAGTAACCTCCATATCTTCCTGGGCTGTATAGCAGTAAAAAGAGGTGGACTTTATTAGCAGTAAATACAGTTTCATAAATTTGCAAAAGTATTTGGTTTATTTAAATATTTACATAATGGTAGCAATACTAATAGCAAATATCTTATATAGCCCTTACTATGTACTAAGCATCGTGCGTGTGTGTGTGTGTGTGTGTGTGTGTTGCGATATAAAGGCCTCACCTGGATTAACTCATTTAATCCTCACAATTCTCGCATTGGGTGAGCATTATAATTAGCCCCTGTTCAGACATGCCTCTTTGAAGCACAGAGAGGTTAAATAACTTCCCCAAGTAACTCAGCTCCCAAGTGACGGAGTCCGGATGAACCCAGGAAGCCTGGTTCTGAGTCTCATGTTGGTCACACTCTGTCTGCTGAACTGTATCAAAGGATTGGGGGCTTTGGGGGTAGGGTTATTCAGTTTGAATTTCTGTTGACTGTACCGTATTTTACAAAGTTATTTCTGCTGAAATGGATTATGTTTTTATTCTCAGGTCGATTTAGTAACAGGGTTAGCCATAGAAGAATCACAGATTCAATGAGGATGACCCTTACAAATTGTATTTACCTTTTGTATAATTCAAATGAATTTCACTGAGCAAGATTACCCTTGTGCCCATTCCAAAATCATACAAATAGGTTGAAATTAGTTGTTTTTGCTATTTGTTACCAGCTGCTATGACTGATTCTGTTCCACAGGAATGTCTCTTGTCTGTATAATCTGGAAAACTCTTAGAGTAACTGAGTCACTCCTGGGTGTGCAGGAGCTGTCTCTCTAGGCTTATGCTTTCTTTTGCGCGTATGGCTCTGGTCTCCCACTCCAGTGTAGAGAGGTGGAGGAGAGTGGTGGCGAGCGTGTGCCGGCCCACGCAACCTGGGATGAGACTCCTTGGCTTTTCCTGAACTTCTGAGCCTTTTCTCCTGCCCACTGAAAGTTCACTAATGAAATTATAGTTTTATTTTTTACACGACCGGCACTTTTCATCTGTAAGTTTTGCGTTTGTGGATTCAACCAAGTATAAATTGAAAATATTCAGGGGAGAAAAAAGCATGATTGCATCTGTACTGAACATGTACTGACTTTTTTCCTTATCATTATTCCCTAAACAACGTAACAACTGTGTACATGCCATTTATATTATATTAGGTATTATAAATAATCTAGAGATGATTTAAAGTATACAGGAGGATGTGCATAGGTAATATGATATACCATTTTATTAATATATAAGGGACTGGAGTATCTGCAGATTTTGGCATCTGCAGGAGGTCCTGTAACCAATCCCCTGCAGATACTGAGGGATGAATGCATACAAATTAGTAGGTCTCCCAGTAGAGGAAAAAAATGTTCTCCCTTTTTCATCTTTCTCTGAAGGATAGAACTTTGTTTTAGGGCATTTGAAATAGCAAAAAAGTTTTGTTCTACCTTTCCTGAGAGTTGGAAACTGCATGAGCTCTTGTTTAAAGGAGCAGTATCTAGAGTGTGACTCTGTGCACAGCCTGTATATATACATCACCACCTGTCATTGATGAGTACATGCCATGAGGAAAGTGAACTGCACGTCTTAGAAATAGACTCAGAGCCCAAAGAAAAATTTTAAAAGCACATTTGGCCATAAATTACAACTTAACTAAATGTAAAAACCAGAAATTATACAAGGTATTCTTCAGACCACAATGGAATTAAACTAGAAATCAATAAAAGAAAGAAAGATTGCTAGAAAAGCCCAAAATATTGGGTGATTAAACAACACCTTTCTAAATAATGTTGTATGTCAAAAATGTCCTGAGGAATTATGAAATATTTTGAATTAAATTAAAATGAAAATACAGCTTCTCAAAGTTTGTGGGATATATTGAAATCAGTGCTTAGATAGAAATAGCATTAGATGCATATATTAGAGAAAAGATCTAAATCAATAATAACCTTCCACCTTGTTAGGAAACTAGAAAAAGAAGAGCAAAATGAGGTAGAGAACTACTTGGAGTAAGGAGGATGAGTTTGGTTACATAATAAGGAGAATTGTTCAAGTGACTGATAGATTTGAAAATTTTAGAATGTGGTTTTAAGTAGTTTTCTTAGATAGTGCTTGATAAACTTTTACAGCTGTTTTAACATTTTTGACATATTTAATATTTTGTTTTTTTAGACCATTCCAACGAAAGACAGACTTGAAGGTCTTCTTGCCTTTAAAGAGAAAAGGCCCCCTCACTATAAAGGAGAATAAAAGGAAGAGAAATTCTTAAGATGCCAATGTACTAAATGTACTTCTGGAAGTGTCTTTCGGGTCCACTGTATGCCTCAGCACATGGAATCTCAATGACCAAAGTGAAGAGCAAATTATTCATATAGTGTAGCAAGCATCTGGAATGGACCCATCCGTGTACTTCATTCAAATGTGTAAATGTCATATTCATTCAGATTTGTAAAGCTAGTAGTGTATATTGTCAGAAACAGAATCTAAGTTAGATATACATTTTTAAATATTTACTGCATATGCGGCTTTCTGTTCTTAATTTTTTAATGTGAATAATTTATATATTGCACATTCTAGGGAATAATATTGATTGTATGTCTACTGTGCTGCATTAAGAAAATAAAATTTCTATATACCAAAAATGTGAAGTTATACCAAATAAAGTTTCTAAGTAATTAATGCATACGAACAGGTACATATACATATATCTAAACCTGAAAAATGAACTGATAGATATTCTGAGTGAAAACTACCTAATACAAATAAAATCAGTGAAAAGAAAACATGGGAATTTTTCTTTTACCCCATTCTTTTTGAATTGACTAAATCATTGCATGCTGGACTTTAGAAGAAACAGCCCTTTCATTGCTGCTTCTGTCAGGCAACCTGTTTACATCATCAGTCCCGTAATACGGTATCGAAGGTGAAGAATTAATCCAAAGACTGAAGCCAAAGAACCGAAGCGGACAGGAGACCTGGTGAAGTGGGACTTGCAGGACCTCCGCCCAGCAAGTGGTTTGGCCACCGGGCCTAGGAAAGGTGATGATGTTTACACACAAAGGAGGAAAGAAAGTGGGGCAGCCAGGATTGGAGCATGGAAATGGCTTGGGGTCATGGATTAAAGTGGAGACCGTTCTCTGCTTCCTTACCCTCAGCTATTTGCATCCAATTTCTGTAAGGGAAAGAGGTGAACTTAAAACAACCCTTTGTCCTAACAAACACCTGCCTTCCTACCCAGGCCAGGCTAAGAAGCCGTAAACAGAGGGGCCTCCAGGTTGCGTGCCTGAGTAGCCGTACCTGGGAAGTAGGCATTGGTAGGTGTGTGGGACATCGGAAACTGGAGAATTCGCCGTGGAAAAAGGAAGGAGAACATTCTGTTGCCCTTAAATAATTTGAGATAGCTCTACTTTACATTCATTTTACCAAACCACACTGCCTTCCTAGTTGGCGCCAGGTCTGAGTCTGGTCATGCTGGAGACTACGTCCCTGGGAGTGCCCCTTGCCCGCTGAACACTACAGCAAGCTTCACTGTGGTGCAGCCCAGCTGTGTCCTTAAGGTGTCCTCCTTTCACATTTCCGTATATCAGATAAACACCCATTTTACTGTGGATTTACATCCTCATCATGACGACTTCATTGCTGTTTGAAAGCATGTAGGCTTCATTTTTTAAATTCTGAAACTTACATTTTTTAACTTGGGAATTTGAACTCAACCTCAATTCTGAAATTCTTCTAGGAGGCAAATGTGGACTGGCCATCTGCTGATGTCTGTCCTGACAAAGGTAGGCAGTGTCTTCACTAATGTCTGGACACTAAGGTGAGTGCTGTTTTCTTTACCACCTTAGGTGCTGAGGCTCTGCGGATTTATGACAATTGCTCAGCTGATCATCATACTATAAAGAGGGCTTATTAAAATTCACGTTTGGCTCTCTCTGTGATGGTCGTGTTGGGCGGCAGGCATGCTTGTGTACTGATAAACTTGCTGAGCGGTTCGTTTTATGCATGATAATTTGCACCTAAAATGCTGGTGGTGGTTTTCATAGCCCTTTAAAGGTTGCAGGGCCAGTTTGTCCTCCCCATGACATGCTAAGTACCACTTTCTCTTTGAGCAGGAAATAATTATGTTATTAGGAAAAAATTATTCAGAGTGTGCTAAGTCGTTTCTCTTAACTTGGATTCATAGTCTAGTCTACTGTCACTGATCGAGCACTGTTTAATTTCCTAACAAGTTCTGATGAAGTCACTGGAATGTATCTGAAAGCAGAGTCCTGTAGTGACTTAAGGTATTGCAGACTTCATGTATTATGGCAGAGAAAAGTGTCTGTCCAGTTCTCTGAATCAACGTTTGCCTTTCTCTCGATTTTCCTTTCAGTATCAGTCTTGCTGCTAAGTAATCCTGATCCTCCCCGAAGTCAGGCTTACGGGTCTCTGGGTAGAGCCATGCTACCTAGGGAGGGGCCCTGCATGGGCTGCTCCTCTTTGTGCAGCACGCCGCCTGTTGGTGCGCACAGCTGAAAATGCAGTAGACGTGTCCGTGTGTTCAGGCTACGTTAGAGAAGACTCAAAAAAGGAGGATGAGTGGTCAAGCACAGATAGAAGTAAGAGGATGAAAGCAAAATAAAGAAAATATTTCCCGTTATCTCAGAGCACGGGGCCTACTGGTTTTGAAGTTATTTAGAGCTGGTTAATTTCTAACTTGTCTATGAAAGGAAAGGAAAAGAGGTCTCCAAGTTTCTTAAGTTCTGAGGCAAGAGAAAAGCTCTAGTAATGGCCAGAATAAGAGGTTTTCTGAGATTGATTTCTGTAATGTAAAGGATCATTTCATGTTTGCTTTGTTCTTAATAATGATGGATTTGGTTTTCCTGTCAATCATTTTTGTTGTCCTTGTTGGTCTAGCAATCAAAACTTGGCTTGTCACAAAGTGTTACTTTTCTGATAGCACTTTGTAAGTGCTTTGTGAATAGGCCAAAGTAGTGGAGTGTGGATTCATGGATCAGCACTTAGAAAAAGCGTATACCTGCACATGGGTGTGTCACTGGCCGGCCGTCAGCCCTTTTCCTCACTTGACCTGAACTTCTACCTCTGGTGATGGGCCCTACATTTGCTCTTATTTGGGCTCCAAAGATCCTGGCACACAGACATTCAGAAATAATTAATCATGCCATTATTTGTCTACCGATCCAGTAAAATATTAACTAACACGTACATCAGTATGTATTGAACTTTATCAGAATAGCAGTAGAAGTTATTTTCTCATAGTATGTTAACTGTATACATGTTTCACAAAAAAATACAACATTTAAAAGTTAGTTGCTAATATTCTGGTAACACAATGTAAGAGGTGCTTTTCTGCGTAGATGAAGCAGGATACAGATTGTGTTTTGGGGTATTTTGGGAGGTGGAAGGTGGTCGAATCCTCTGTTCAATTGTATATGTGTCTCAGGCTCCAAAAAATCACTGTTTCAAATGCTTGCCTTTGAATTTTCAGTCTTCTTTGGGACCTCCAAAAATTCAGCTACCCCTTAGAGCATTAGCATCTAATAAGCTATTTAGTGTACACTATTTGTTTTCCAAAATAATTCTCAGGGCAGCATGAGATATCTGGGGACCTGGTGGGGAAAATAAAGGATGTCAAGGACAGACCAAGACATGCACCCGTGTGGTTCGGCAGCAGCCCTGGAGACGCGCCCGTGTTGCAAGACATGAGATGGGCCCTCCTCCAGGAGCTGGCAGTTCCCTCGGGGGCCCCAAAGTGAGCTCCTAGGAACCAACATGTAAGTTCTTTTTTAAAGGCCTAATATAGAAACAGTACTGTGGTGTTTTGATTTAAGAAAACATTTTGACAAGATCACTGAAAATACCCTTTAAATAAGATGAGCGAATAAGAGCTGGGTGTTACGGTAATACTGAGTAACATTTATGAAGCCATTAATATCTACCAGGTGCTTTCCAGACACTACCTCCACGAAAGGATAGGCACTTTGGTTATTCCTGTGGCACAAAGAGACCCATAAACCATGGAGGGATCACTTACCCGCAGCCCCACGGCAGGTACATGCTGAAGTCAGGAATTACACCCAGGTCTCCTGGCCCTTTTGTCACTGTTGAGCTTGAAAACAGCCAAACAACGTAACAGAAGGCTGCTGATACGTGTGTTTTTGTCAACCTAGAGGGAGTAGTGTCCTTTGCCCTGATTTGGTCAACAATTTTCTCATTACTTGGAAAAATACCAAAAATGTGCTTATCAGCTGATCTGATGACACAGGCAAGTAATGTAACAATTAGAGCCAACGCCCACTCAGCGCCTCCTCTATCAGACACTGTGCATTTTTACACCTAATAGCAGAACCTTATGAAATGGGTTTGCTGATTTATAGTTTAGGACACTGAGGCAGCAGGATTCATGCTGGGCGTTCTGGGTTCTGGGTTCGTTCCGGTGTTTAATGACTGTACCATCAAGGGCACAGAGCCAGTCTTGGTAGATATGAATGAGGCATGGATCTGTCAAGATGCTAGTAGTGATTGGTGTATGTCTTCACATCTCAGTTCCCCCTAAAACCAGCTACTGGAGTCTAAGTGTGAGGACTCATGGCTTGATAGCAACGCTTGTCAAAAAGGGGGCAAGAGGGCCTGTCATCCCAGCACTTTGGGAGGCCAAGGTGGGTGGATCACGAGGTCAGGAGATCGAGACCATCCTGGCTAACACGGTGAAACCCGCCTCTACTAAAAACACAAAAATTAAGCCAGGCGTGGTGGCAGGCGCCTGTAGTCCCAGCTACTCGGGAGGCTGAGGCAGGAGAATGGCATGAACCCAGGAGGCGGAGCTTGCAGTGAGCCGAGATCACACCACCGCACTCTAGTCCGGGCAACAGAGCAAGACTGTCTCTAAAAAATAATAATAATAATAAAAAAAGGGGAGGCAAGATGTGCTCCCCGTGGGTCAAGAGTACCCCAGACACATCTTTCGGGAAGGGCGCCAGGTTTGTTGCTCTATTTGGCCCTGGTCAGACTCATCTGGAGTGTTGTATTCAGCACTCAGCATTGCAATTTCTAGTGGTCATAGAGTCACTCTGTACTTTCCCGTAAAGCACATGGGAGCTCTTTGGCCAAGTTTCAGCTCCACTGAAGCCAGTGATGAGACCATGGACAAAACGCCTCATCTCCCCAAGCCCATTTCTTCATTTGTAAAAGAATCCAGTAGTCGTTCAGGATGGTTATGAAGACCCAGTCACATTGGATGTGATGTGTATAAAGGTGCTTTATGTGGTGGTGTGTTTTATTTGTTTCATATTTCAGAAGACGGGAAGGTAGGTCTCACAACCATGGCTGGTTTGGGGGCATGAACATGAACCTTCACTCAGGAAAAGAGAAGTCTAGGGAAACATGGTAGCTGCCTCCAGTAGAACCGCAGTTTAAAACAGATCTTCAGAGGCTTCCAGGGCGAGGGGAAGCCATGCAGGGCTCCTCCCCACCTCCCCACTTCTGCTCATTGCTCTGCACTTGTCCAGAGACAAGAGAGGTGGACTAAAGTCTATGCGAGGAAGTTACTTACACCCTCCTAGGTCCAAAAGCTGCCCCCTGCCTCTGGAGTGTTAGAGCAGAAAGTGGGCAGGCATGGGCAGGGCCATTGCTGCGGGAAGTTTAGAGGCACCAGAGGACAGTTCTTCCAACTTAGATGGTTTTTGTGAAGTGAAAGCAAACTGCAGGCCCCCAACACTGGCGCAGACTCTCATGGGTGCAGTCCTCTAACACTGGCACGGACTTAGCAGATGAGAAAGATGGGTCTCCTTACAAATACTGGTCGCTAGTGAGTTGGGTCTTGAGAGACAGAGAAAACAGGTATCTGCCTGAGGTGTGTCTGGTTAACTATGTTGGCCCTTGAGGTAATCTACAGTGTAAGGAGTTTTAGTTCATCTAACATTGTAAGAAATCATTCTCATGTTTGAGTGTCATGTTTGTAGTACCAATTTTGGGGGCCAGGGAGGGAAGATTGCCCTGAGCAAAGCTGCCCATTTTCTCATCTGGTCGGTTTTCATGGAGCGGCCCACCTGCTCCCCACCTCGGGAGATACTGGAGGAGTCTAGCCCTGCGGTGGGCTGTGGTCAGGCCAAGGGTAGGCCAGGTTTCCTTCCTAGGCTTCAGTTCATTCTCCCATCTTGCTGCCAAGGTAGCTTTAGATGTTTTGGTCCCCTAAAGCATTTAAACAGACTGACGTGTACAATGCCGTCTGAACAAAGTCTGCCATGAACGTACTGCACAGTGTGTACCTGAACCTTCCGAGAGAAATAGTAAAATCACCACATCATCAAGTTGCAGCTCGGGAATTACGTAACTTTACTGGTGACGTTTGCAGGAAAAGGTTTCAGAGAAATTTGAAAATTGGCAAGTGTACTTTCTTGACCTTTCCAAAAATAGTCTGAGTCACGTTCACTTTCAGCCTCCAAACTGTGTTGAATGAAACCTTTGTGCAGTTTACAGAAAGTGAAGAACTGTTTGGCAAGAGAGAGAAGTTCGAGCTCCTAATAGCCTCGGCTGCATTGGGTAACATTTCTTTTGAGTTGTCTATTAACGCTTTCCTGAAACATGCTTTTTATGATGCCTAGAACTTGTATAAGAGTGACTGTAATTTGAGTTCTTTAAAAATGTAAGTACAAGAAATGTGTCACATGCCATAAGAAATAGGAAATGACAGCTCACATCTATCTTGGTGGAAGGAAGCTCTAATTATTGGAAGATGTGATTGGAATATTGGTTCTTAATACCTACGGGTGGCTCTGTCGTATGCTTACCTAACACCAGTATTGGCATGCAAATAACACTGAAAAGCTCCTTTCTTTACCTCTGGTCTTTGTGGGAAGGCATGGTGTGAGTCGAGATTGCTAAACCACTCTTCTGAGAGGACTCAGAGAGAGTGTTTATCCTAGACCATCCATGGCACTGGTACTTCTGAGTTCAATTATGGTGTGATCTCATTAGTCCAGGCTCAGAATGGCTTGGTAACCTCAAAACTCCAAGCCCTCGGTGCTTGCTTTACTTCCCTAGACTTGCAGTTTACGTACGCCCACATGTGCTTCATGTGTATTAAAAATGCTTGCATGTGTAGATATGAAGATATATGTTGACTGTCCTGAAAAACATGACATACCTAACGTTTAAAATTGTTTTGAGCTTCCCCTGGGGATAAACTAGTCTTCAAATGTAAACATGATGAGCAGCGTAGGGGTTATGGTAGAAGTTACAATTACCGTCTTGACTTACACAATCTATTATGGAGTAATACTAACTTAATTCCAACAGTATACAAATTCTTTGTTCCTATATAGCATTGTATCTTCCCCCATCCTCTGTGCTTTTATTTTCATACAAATTAAATCTTTATGCACTGTAACTTCAGAACAGTTTAATTATTGCTTTATGAAGTTGTCTTTTAATTGGAGAAAAAGAAGTTACAAATGAAATGAAAGTTACAAATGAAAAATACACTTACAGTGTCTCTTATATAGTTATCTTTACCAACACTCTTTTTTTAAAAACTGTGGATTTGAGTAACTTTCTAGTATCTTTTCGTTTCAACCTGAAGCACTCCCTTTAATATTTCCCGTTGGGCAGGTCTGCTAGGGACAAATTCTCAATTTTTGTTTATCTTGAAATGTCTCAATTTTTCTTTCATTTTTGAAGGATGATTTTGTTAGTCGTAGGGCTCTTGGTTAACAGCCTTTTTCCTTCAGCACTTTCAATATGTCATGCCACTGCATTTTGGCCTGCATGATTTCTGATGAAGAGCTATCTTAATTTTATTGTGAATCCCTTGTGTATGATGAGTCACTTCTCTTGATGCTTTCAGGATTCTCTTTTTGTCTTTGTCTTTTGACAATTTGAGCATAATATGTCTCAGTGTGGATCTCTTTGAGTTGATTCTGTTTTGTTGGGCTCTTGGATATGTAGACTCATGTCTTTGTCACATTTGGGAACTTTTTGGCCATTATCTTCTCAAATACTTTTTCTACCCCTTTCTCTCTTTCCTTTCTCTCTGGAACTCCCATTAGGCATATGCTGGTGTACTTGATGGCATCCCATAGGTCTCTTGACCTTTGAACAAGACCTTTGATTATTTTCCTTTAATCTTATTTCTCTCTACTCTTCAGATTTAGTAATTTCTATTGATAAGCTTTTGAGTTTACTCCTTCTTTCCTCTGCCATCTCAAATCTGCTTTTGAGACCATCTAGTGGGTTTTTCATTACAGTTATTGTCATTTCGATTTTAGAATTATTCTTTGGTCCTCTTTAAAATGTTTTGTCTTTATTGATATTCCATGTTGGTGAGGCATCATTCTTATACTTTTCTTTAGTTCTCTGAATATATTTAAAATAGCTGATTTAAAATGTTTTTGAATACATTTAACATCTGAACTTTTCTCAGGAACAGTTTCCATTGAATGTTTCATTTCCTTGTATGAGTCAGACTTTCTTGTTTCTGTATATGTCTTACAATGTTTTATTGAGTAATGAACATTTTAAATAATATAATATGGCAACTCTGGAAGTCAGATCATCCTCTGTCCCATCCTAGGTTCACAGTTGTTTATTATTGTTGCTATTTGTGTATTGACTTTCCTGAGCTAATTCTGTGTGTTTTGTTGTGTGTGGTTACTGAAGTCTCTGCTTGGTTATTTTAGTGTTCAGCTCTTGATTGGACTCAGATTTCCTTAAATGCCTTGAACCAGTAAATCTCCAGCTCTTGCTGAAGGGCTCTGTATGTTGAGGCATACCTTCAATACATTGACAAGCAATTGGCAACTCTGCCTTAGCCTTCACTTCCTCCTTGTGTAGAGCCTTAAGGTCAGCCAGAGGTGAGAGCTAGGGCCTTCTCAAGTCTTCCCTGAGCTTGCATACAGCCCTCACATGCACATGGCCTTCTAGATTTCTAGGAATATGTCAGAGCTTTTCATAGCCCTCTATGGACATCTCATTCCCCAGTTTCTGTTTTTATGTTTTTTGGTCAGCTTCTTACTTGCCTCAACTCAGGCAGCTTTGATGCTGAACAATCATCACTGATTTTTTTTTTTTCCTTAAACACCCTGCAGGAAAAAGCTCTCTACAATGAATGAGGTCCTAAGGGCAAATAAAGACAAGCCCTGTGAGTGGGGGTTTTCCCCATTATTAAAACACCAGAGAAATGCTGGACATATCAGATAATGACAAGTTTCTAGGAACAGGGCTTTGGGCATGCTACAAAGACATTCATTCTCCTATGGTGGCTGCTGGTTTTCATGGCTGCCATGAGTGTGAGACTATTAGTTTTCAAGGTGTGTGTGGCTCTGGGAAGAGGAAGTGGAATAGGGCAAGTTAAAATTCCACAAAGCAGCTGGGTGCTGTGGCTTACACCTGTAATCCCAGTACTTTGGGAGGCCGAGGCAGACAGATCACCTTTGGCAGGAGGTCAGGAGTTCAAGACCAGCTTGGCCAACATGGTGAAACCCCATTTCTACTAAAAATACCAAACACTAGCTGGGTGTAGTGGCGGGCGCCTGTAATCCCAGCTACTCAGGAGGCTGAGACAGGAGAATTGCTTGAACCCAGGAGGCAGAGGTTGCAGTGAGCCGAGATCATGCCATTGTACTCCAGCCTGGGCAACAAAAGCAAAACTCCGCCTCAAACAACAACAACAACAAAACAAATAAAATGCCACAAAGCTTGTTCTTATTGAGATTCAGCCACTTTTCTTGAATAAATGCTTCTCAGATTGTTGCAAGCTTTTGGCTAATTTCTGGGGTTCTTAAAAAGTTTTGACAATTTTTTTTTCTACAATCTTTATTGATGTTCTCATTGTTTATATGGAGGAGCAGATTTTTTGGAAGTTCTCACTGCACTGTTCCCACTGATATGCCTTCCCTATCCCCAGCTGATTCTAATGCAAACATGTGTACCATGGGCTGTTATTGGCAAGGTGTACAAGGTAGCTTTCTGACTTCTGGTACATCAAAACTGATATTTATTGAATTATTATTAAAGCCCAAACCGTTGACTATACCTCACTTCCCAAATGTCAGGTTTAGTTGTAGTCAATGTAGGAGAGGATTTACTGCTGTATTGTCTTTTAAATGTGTGCTCTGAGTCTAGACCCAGGAAACAGAAATAGGCTGCTCCAGCTGAGGCTCCCCTTGCCTGGTCATGAGGTTGGATGATCTGTGAGGGATCTGTGTTCATTCAGTCCTTAGTTGCTAAACTAACAGCCATAAACCAAAGCAAAGCAATGCATAAATGCAGCCTTCAAGTAGTAAAAATAAAAAGTATTGAAATTCCAGCATATATAGGTGTCTTATGTTTTAGGACAACTTTTCTTCCACACTGTTAAATTCATGTTCCACTGTTGAACATTTAGACTATGATGACAAAATCATTTATTAATTTGAGCTTTCAGACCTTGAACAGGATTTCATGTACAGTAAGAGTTTGCTAGTAATCAAATGCAAGAGTCCTTTCCTTAAAAAAAAAAAAAAGTAAAATGAAGATAAGATGAAATTTCATTTCCAATATATGTTAGGGAACTAGATATATTCTAGTTGGTACTAGAATGTATAATTAGCCGTTGGTGAAATTTCAGAAGACTTTCTAGGTTAAGATGTCATTGAAAACAGTCCCTCTACAGGAAGGCCACTTCGAGGGTAGAAGACACATGTGAGTCATCTCGCCCTCTGGCAGCACTGTTACCTCTCAGAGCTTCTCAAACACAGTGGCCATTGTTGTTACCACGGCTAATTATTAGCCTGCTCCAACAGAATTTGTGTCGATGTTACAAAAACAGTTTATGCTACACAAGCTCTTTATTCATGTAATAATTACAGCATGTTTGTCTTAAGTATTTCGCAAGTGTTCTCTTTGGATAATACCAGCAAGATTAAGTAATAGTTTCTCGCTAACATTATTGCTCAAGAACATCAAACATGACGGATTGGGATTTGATATCCGTCTATCTTTGGCTTCTAGCATCTTTGACTTTTTGCGTTGCTCACATATAAAATACTCTTCTTGTGGGGGTGTGCCTATTGTTTCTAATGCAAACGCCAGGAACCACATGAGCAAAATATTTTATTTCAGTTTTAATGGAGAGTTTTTAATAATGATCAAGAGTAACACAGCCAAGCCAGCAACAACACTGTGCCAGAAGCCAGAGACTTCAAAGAGTCTTCCTTTTAGAACTCCAAAAAAACAAAAAGTAAGAAAGAAATTTATGTTTCTCCATATCATCCAACTTCATCATTGGCAATAAGTGACTTGGCAAGAAGCATGCATCACATGGTTTGAGTTCTGCACTGGAAAAGGTCAGCAGGAGGCACAGACACTGGCCTGCATGATGCAGCCGTGTACTCTGATCCCACGACACGTGCTTTGGAGCACGTTATGCAATGTTACACTGCTGATTAATGGCCGCTTGCACAAGAAGTTTTTCATTACCCCTACTGCAAGCATCCTGGGAATGATTAACTTTGTGACATAACTTTCATCATACAAATATGGAAGATTTAAACAGAATTTCAAAA